AATATAGTCTGGATCTGAATCACTTGACATGTTATGTACATTTTTATGTACAAGGTCATAAACAAAGTACAATATTATAATATACATACGACAAGTACAGGGGATACAGTTACCAAAGTGACAGTGTAAAACCAACAACCCTTTAAAGTGGCCGAACGCGGATTATATAGCTTACACGTCGTCCAAATGTTTTATGAATCAATCTTCTTCGACATGCAGCTTCTTTAAAAAGTAAGTGACAATTTAACATGTACCCTATACTTATTTCTGAGAAACATGGTCTACAGGACAGTAGTACAGTACCGAACAAGTTTTCCAAACCATACAGTTGCGCAATCAATGTCCTTACAGCAGTGATGGGTATTTGCGCCGTATCACACAAATACGCTTAGTTTGCGGGGTCGAGCGCTAACGTAGAAGTGTGTGCGACTTAAAATATTATAATATGTAATACAAACATAGTGATGTACACGAAATGTTCGATGTATACAATTATATGTACGAATATAATTCGACATCGAAATATGACAGTTACGAAACAATATTTTAGATACATAATTTGATTTACTTAGTAAAGTAGAATTTATATCGCGGCTATGCTCAAGTTTTCTCCATTTTATGATTAAATAAGTCACCCAAATGTATTACATAGTTAAATTTAATAATAGAAAACTGAAAACATTTATAAATAAAATGTCACTTAAATGTTTTTTTTTATTCTAATGTAAGTGCGCATTTGACCTCATATGTTTGACAGTGCAACAGATGTTAGTCTATTAAATGAGTACACTAGAAAAGTAATCACAATTATTTTATTCTTTTCAATTTGCGACAACCCTTGTTTATCTGCGTATGGCAGCATAAGTATCTACATAGGCGGCAGTATCGACTAACATCAAAGGCGTTGCGCTGCTGTAGTGAAAATATTGGAATACTGTGACTGAACCGTACTACTTCTCCTCGTTTTTTACAGGACTCACCAACATGATCATATTCCGAAGGTCATTTAATCGGTTATTCACCATTGGAAGTTATATTATAGCAAATATAAAAAGTGTGTGAACTTTTCCACTCCTTGTCGTCCTAATTGATTTTATTGAATTCCCTTATCTTTCTACACAAATATCCCATACACTGTACACACAGTATCGAGTTTCTTAACACATTTCAATTGCGATAGGTCGACATGTAATGGTATATGTAAGGATAAAAATGTGTATTTACTATACTTTGCAATAACATGTATGTGCGTATGTATTAGAGAAATCAAGAAATATGTAACCATTTTCCTATATCATAAATAATATGTATTGGCATTTGAAAGAGCTTTGGTGACAAGCTTATGATAAGTGTATGTATTTAGATACATATGTTTGCCCTCAATACACGTTATGATATGTAATATAATTTGAGTATGTCATGTATGTATTTGAATATGACAGTGATATGAAATGTAATATAATTTTAATTACTCGCCAAATCATAAATAAATTAAGCCCTCCTCAAAAATATCCACAACATAATGCTTTTTCTTATACAATTTTTTCACATAAACATGAAAGCTAAATTATAGAATATACAATAATAGAATAGGTACGCCGATAATTAATATATATAATATATTAATATATATAATATATTAATATATATAATATATTAATATATATAATATATTAATATATATAATATATTAATATATATAATATAATAATTATGACCTATATTGACCTATATTAACGTTTCTAAGCGGCTTATGCGAAGTTCTTATATATATAGGAAGTAATGCGCCAGTGAATATCTGTAGGCCTTCACATGTAAAACAAATACTATTATTACTTCATGATATTTAAGGTGCTTATATCTAAAAAGGCTTTGGTCACTAGCATCAAATCTGCAGATTTTCAAAGACAGCAGTGTCACTGGCATTCAATATGGCAGAAGATCGGAGTTAGAGTAACAGGAACTACCTCAGACGAATGTTTCACGACATATTTTTGTAACACTTAATTTATCGGATACTTATAGGTATGTACTATACGATAAATGATGTCTAATCAGAAAAGGGTACTATAGCGAAGTAAACGAGTATTTACAGTACAATGTGTGGTTGATGTATTTTTCCTAATGTACAAAATGAATGCTTACCATTATCATCGTCTGCGGGCAGTAGACCCACCGTGCCAAAAAACCGCTTGTCCAACAGTTGAAGCAGCTGTAAGGCGCTTTCATGAATGGGTGCACGAGGACATCCAGTGCACATTAGCGTTACGTTGATGATCGCCGTGTAGTGATCGCACGGGTACTCTCTGTAACAATTAAAAAAAATATTCTTAATATTTGTTTTCATTACTGTTTCTCGTTGAACGTTTTCATTTTTTAATTAAACAAAGGAGTCGACCATTACAAAGGTCCAAGTAAGTAAGGTATTTACTTTTAATTACGACAATGTGGTGACATATAATTTTGTACTTGAAAGCTACGTAGAACCGCCCACAGGTTAAATACACATTTGTCAGATCCAATAATTCTAATTGGAAACACTATGCGAGTGAACATTTGAACATTAACGTTTTTATATATTTGTTTTAGTCCATTAGACTAATCTTAATTTACTCAGCTAAATTTTCCCGGTAAAAGCTCTCAGTTGCATCGCCGCAAGAAAACATAATACAGTATAATACAGGAAACCGTCCAGCACGCGTATCGGCTATATTTGAAAACCCCGTAACGCTGTTTTTGGACGAAATCTTTTTTAATCTTCAAGCGCAATATCGGGCAATTAAAGCCCAAAATATATTTATAGACCTTTTAGTTATAAAGGTATAATCATTGATTGTCATATAATTAATTCAAATAATTCTATTTTTTGTGCCTACTCAAAAGTTCACATTCATGGAGGTTACGAGTGTATGTATGCTACTCTACCTCCGACCTTGACTAAGTACCTATTAGTGGGTAGTTAGTTGTACATAATTACCTGCGACAATTGCCACTTGATATCTTAAAATCTCAGCATGTCATTGCAAGTGAATTTAGAACACGGCGAGGTCGAAATGCGGCTACTTAGGAAAATTTGCTTTTAGAAATAAATACAACTCAAATGTTATTTATTCAGTACCCTTCAAATATACTCAATCTATTTGCATAAGTATTTGTAAGATATTGACCATGGAACTTTCCGTAAATATGAAAAAACTTCGCCATCGTACACCTAAAAAATATCGTAGGGACTGTTAATAAGACCCCTCCGCGCAGAGCTCATTACATGAATTTTACTTTTTAATTAAGCGAGTGTTCATTCAATTTCTTAACTTTAAACAATATCTTTAGCACTGACTCCCCTGAGTAATACTCTTAATACCCACGTATTAAGTTAAAAATAGAGATGACTTATAATTGTAACAATAAGTTGTCTTGGCGAGACCGATACATTTACAAAGTCAATTTTCTCAGTTTTCCAGTCGTTTCACTAAACTAAACTCCGGAGCCACGACACGTGCTCTCATAAAAATCAAAAGACTACGAAGAGTAGGGTAGTAGAGGAATACGATTTTATCGAAAACTGTTTAAACAGCTTTTGATAAAATGACAAGTAAATCTCGATGTCTCAAAATATTATTTTGCGGTCAATGAGACCCGGCATTGATAATTTATGGAACCGAGGTATACGTCATTTTTAAAATAAACCCCAATTGATACATAGTTGTTATTTCATGTAATATTTCCTAATGCGATTAAAAAACGAAATAAATCGTCATAAAGTCGGAAAGTAGCGAGAGTTATAAAGCTTTCAAATTCTGGCAGACCTATGTCTGCCAGAATTCGACAGTGCACGATATAATAATTTGTTCCCCCTCTATAGAAATTAATTAATAGAAATAATCGGCAATATCTGAGGAAACGAAAGTTGGTTCTCACATATACAAACGTAATACAAAAAACGGGCCCGGATTAAAAGGGGAAATAATAAAGTAATAAAGTAGCGACGTTGATTGGACCAAGATAGATTTGTCGCATTAATATAGGTACATAATATAATACTCGAATTTTCCAAGACAATTATATACATAAATAATTTCGGGTGCATTCATATGGGTTGACTGCAGCGTCACAGATATGTATTCTAAATTAGTATCATATTTTCGAATCTCGAATCTATCAATACACATAACAGAATATGAAGTAAACATTTACGAGTATATTTATGAAGGTGATACATAAAAACTAGACTTATTTTATAAAAGATATCAGAATCAAAGTAGCGTAATTATGGGACTACACAATAATTCAGTGACAAAATTATGGAATGCCACTTCAAGGCAAAACATAAATATTTATAAGGGTTTTAAATGTTTAGCGTTTCCTAAATGAGGTTACAAGCACAGAGAAAATGGACGTTCCCAAGAAAAGGAAGTATTGAAATCTTTAGAACAATGCAGATACCTCCATGCAGTTTTCTATGTTGTCTGTATACTTTTACAACATTTTTTATACTATTTACTCTGTCAACCTATATATGTATATCTTCTACGATCGGTACTGGGTGCGATTTTTGGTTAACTCATGGTTGTAATCTACCACTCTAACTAATACAAAATAAAGATTTTGCGTTACAGTCTTTTATTAGATGCACAAAACTGATCCCTTCCGAAACTTCAAGAAGGAACCAACTGTTCTATGCTACATAACATGCAATATAAAGCCTCTGTGACCGAACTGTTACCACGCTGGTCAGCAACGCATATATGGGCTACATTTATTTCTCTCGTGAGTTTGGGTGTACTTGGTACTTGGTGCAACGGGCTGGTATTCGCAACTCGAGTTTGGGTGTAATTTGTGGTTGTTTGCGTATGGACGCATCACGAGTGCCATGGGGCACTTGATTTCAATTGAATTGATTTTAATTGCAATTAAATTTGCAATTAAAATCAATTTCGGCCGGTTGGGGGCCCGTTTGGGGGCCCCGGTTAGTTGGCTCGGTTGGGGGGTCCGGTTCGGAGCCATCAGGCCCCTTAACTGGCCCCTAACCGGGCCCCCCAACAGTGGCCTCCAACCGGGGCCCCCAGCCGGGCCCCCCAACCGGGCCTTCAACCGGGGCCCCCAATCGGGCCCCCAAACGGGGCCTCCAAGCGGGCCCCCCAACCGGGGCCTTCAACCGGGGCCCCCAATCGGGCCCCCAACCGGGGGCCAACCGGGGCCCCCCAACCGGGCCCCCCAACCTGGGCCCCAACCGGGGCCCCCAAGCGGGGTTCCCAACCGGGCCCCCAACCGGCCCCCTAACCTGCCCCCAGCAGGCTCCCAACAAGCCCCCACAACCAACGCCCTAACTCACCCCCATATAAATTTATCATAATTGTCAGTTTTAATTGTTAATTGTTAATCAAAAACATTGAAAATTGATTAATTGTTAATTGTAGATATTTGTGATTAACGATTGATCAATTGTTAGTTGCGTGAACAATTAAATTTTGCCCAACACTGGCCTATTGTAGTATACTATTTTTCGTAGTTTCATTACTTCTTCATACAAACATTAATTTCCTTGTTTCACCCCCTTTAAGATTTATTTTTTGTGATAAAAAGTAGCCTATGTCCTTCTCCTAGGTCCCATCTATCTCTATAAAAAATTCATCAATATTGGTTTAGCGCTTCAGGCGTGAAAACGTAACAGACAGAGATACTGTCGCATTTATAATATTACTTTGGATAAAAAGAAAAAATAAGATGCAAATCTGTTAGTTATGAATCGCTAGAGTGTATTACATGCAAAGTTTCGCTAATACATTCACAAGTATAGCACACGAGAATGTAAGTAGGTATTTCAACCATTCAGGTCTCTTGAAACTTTCGTAACCGGCATATTAAATTTTGACGTTCCTTGTGGCATATTTCCGACAATAATTTGACGCATTTAAGTACACAAAGATTAATAATACAGTTAACAACGACGACCTCAATGGTCCGATGACGTGACCCAGGTTTCGAATCTCGGTAGAAGGATCAATTTGTTTTGGTCTGGGTTTTCTGGGCAATGTCCTGGAGTGAAATCCGTTGCTCTGTTACTCATAGTAAAGGAAATTCCTCAGTTTGAGACTAAGTAATTGGATAAGATTGTCTGGCACATTATTGTTATTAACCGAATTTTAAGAGCATTAAAAACAACTTTTACTAGCAGAGCTTTTTGCATAGAAATTACTGCACGCTTAATTTCTAATATTTTAACGTAAAGCAACATAACATTCCCGCTCCCATTCGTCAGAATTCAATATAGCAATACATTGAGCTATATTTTTGATTGACAGCGTACCGATTGACGCCCAATAGACCTTTGTACGGTTATGAAGGGTGATTATTTGTGTGTTATGTGCTTATTTTTTTATAACTATAAATAAAATGTCTGGATACAAGGTGTGATTTATAGCAATTCTATTATGACCTTTTTTTAAAGTTATCATTCTTTGTTTGGTAAAACGCCTTTAAATTGCTTGTGCTTTGCAAAGCGCAATACGCAGGCATTTCTCGTGCATGATATTGTCGATACATATTCCGAGAATTCATGCGACTCCGATGTTAACAATCTACTTGTTCAACAAGTACGCTTATATTAATAATATCTACTTATTGTTATAGGAATGGAAATATTTACCACTTTATGTTTCTCTATGTCCAAAGCATCAATAGTAGTGTTGTTTTGAATAAATAACAGGATGATTTTGAATATAAAAATGTTTATATACTGTAATCATATTGTTTGGCAAGGTACACTATCGTTTCTTTTCAAATGGATTGTCTAAACGTATTATTAAATATTTATTATTGTTATTTCATTTTTTATGATATACTAATTCACGTTACAATAGCATTGAGTACAATTCGAGGGTTTAGTGCGGTCGGGCTGCACTGGCACTTTAGGTGATAATTAAAAATATCTTCACAGATATATTTATTACTACTCTTGTCGCGACGTTCGCGATATCCAGATGTAAATATGTAAATAGATATGGCAACACTGGATTAAGAAGCTTATTGGATTGTCGATGGTAAGTCTATACAACCCGCTAATTTTGATGTCAGAGAAAGTTAGAGGAGGTTAATAAACTTCCTCGAGAAGTGTTGAGTTCATCTATTCTAGAAGGAGACAACATTTGTTTACTAATTACCTTTAGGTAATTATTACGTTATGTAGTATCACTAAATATTAAATTAAAAATTTCTCTCTTTCAATTTATTTCAAAGACGTGCTCTGTAAAAAAGCTTAAAGAAAATATTCCAAATATTAAACGGTAATTTAATTCCAGATTACTTA